CTCATAGAACTTAAGACGTGCCAGGCTATATCTGCAGCTAATCTGAATAAAAAGCAGAATGAACTGAAGAAACGTTAAGACAATAAACACAATAAATAAATAATTTATGAATGATGCAATGCTAATTGGCATATCATTTATTACAGTAAAGAAACTATAAAGTATATTTTCTACCTTATTCTCTACAGAAAATTGTAATAATTGTTTGTAGTATATAAAACAATCATTAAAAATTGCCATTAGGAACAAAATATAGATTACATATGATTGATTATTGTCCAGCTGTGTATTTGATTTCTTATAGCAAATTAAAAGTAGGAGATAAGAAAAGTTCCTTGGGGGAAAAAAAAAAACATACATATATATATAATTATTGTATTTGACATTTGTCACTTTTGAAATGATGGCTACGGCCCCGGTGTGACAAAATGTTAGCCTATACATAATACTTTTAAAGCTCTTTTTTTTTTTTTTTAAATCTTGGCTTTACATAAATTTCTACATATGCCATGTCATGCCATATCATCATTATAGCATCATTAAACTAGCATCTAACAATGGACAAAAGTGGTTTTTCTTTTTTTTTTTTCTCTAACCTATGGTTCTGTAACCATAAAGGCTGCTGTGTAATTGACCCCCTGATTAAGCATTTCAAGAATTTAGGGGGAAGCATTTAAATAATGTCGTGAATGCACTTAAAGAATGCAGAATCGAATCGTGAATCGAATTGAATCATTCTGAATTTGCAAAAAATCATTCTTGAATCGAATCGATTCGCTGTCTATCCAAAGATTCACAGCCCTAGTCTTTAGCATAATTTAATATCAAGTATAGAGCTATAGTAATAGTGATGCTTGAAATTAGTGCAGAATGCTTACTTGTGGTAGTATCTTGGGTATTATCATGTAAATTCTGCATTATTTTGCATCAAAAACTGATTGCATTATGTAACCAGAGGCATGCACAGAAAGTTGAAGTCCAGTGAATATGTAACATGGGGTCAGATGGCCTTCGGCTATAGAGTCAGTGCGGTGTGACCGACTTGTCTTTTTCCAGCTCTGGTTTTACTTCTATCTTAAATTATTCCTCTGCACGCTGCTCCGGCCAGACCAGACCCGGCCCACCGGCTGCATGAAAGCACGATTGTGAATATACAGACCGCTGTATTGTCTGAGTCCGACTGGAGTTTTTCAACAGTGGCTCTCTTTTTTTCTGCTCTCTCTCTCACTCTTGATCTGACCCTCAATCTTATTTAAGGATCGTACAAATTTTAAGGGAATTATGACGTGCCAGAGTTTGGGTGGTCTTGACAAGAAGCTGGGGGTATAGTGTGTATCTGTTTATCTAGGACAATTCTCCTGTTGTCTACATGCCAACTGAGACACACGGGCTGCACACAAATGCCAACTTAAACAAGCAGCCCACGTGCCTCAGGAATCAGAAATAGATCCATAAATATTCTCCTCTAGTTTAGTTACTAAATTCACTACAGTTTTTATAGGCTTGTCAGTGAAGTTAATGTTTTTCTAGACTCACAACTATCGTCAGTATTCAGCAGAAGTCTGGTCAAGAACTGCCTACTTAGACAGGAAAAGCCATTATTTGAGTATTGTCTAATATTTTCATATTCGCATGATTTCCATTATTAGGCATTTACATGTTATTGAATGTCAACCATTACACTGTTTTTTTGCGAATGCTTAGTTTTGTGCGCAGTATTCAGACAGTCAGCAGTCTGAAACGGTTTCATATTTCACAATCACTTCAACAAAACATTTCATAACATTAAAGGATAGATGTCGGGAATCTGCAGCGCTCAGCCAGATAAACTCACAGCAGTTTAGTGTGACAGTGAAATCCTGTTTGAATGTGAATTCCTTCTTAAATGATTAAGCTGGAGCCCTCTACCATTTCCTCTCTCACAGGTGTTTTGTTTCACCAACAAGTGTAAGCTTGGCCTTAAATGTATCACCGCACAGGTGTGAGGGATCTGTCTGTGCCCTCACACACATGCTGAAATGTTTTGGGAGATGTTTAGGTGTGAGCATCGGGGCGCCGTATGAAGATAATCATGTTTTTCAGGCCTGGCATTGGGCTATGTGATCACGTCTGGAGCGCTGAGGGGACTGAGGGTGTGCTGTTTGTGTTGGTGTGGGTCTTCTGAAGAGGAAATGGTAAACGGTTCTTAGATCTTCTCCTAGTTTGCTCGCTGTTTTCCCTCACAATAGATGGGCACCATGTAAATTGTATGTTAAACAAAAACCAAACCACATCAATAAAGTTTCAGCCACTTCAAAGAACTTCATAAGAGAAATGAAATGAAACATCAACATATAACCTCTAAATAAAGCAATTTGCAGTAATGTAAACTATAAAATGACAAGTACAATATTTAAGAACTTCTAAGATGTGTCAATGAGACGTGCAACCATACTTTACTGTTTCCCCAGAGGAGTAGAATTTCTGCTGAAACAGATGTTTGTTCTGAGATGAGTCAGTAGGCGCGTTTCCATTACCCTTCAAATTGCGCAAATTGAAATTGCGAATTGAAAATACGCCTAATGGAAACACGTCAATTTCGCAAAAACGCCCATATATCGCAAAAATGTTTTTACGCTCGCATGAGGTGGTTTTTCAGGCAATGTGAAAAAGGAATAACTGCAATGGAAACGGCTTTTTCGCATTTACAGGTCACGTGGCGTATGTAAAAAGTCATATGATCATTCTTCAGTGTACTATAACCTCCAAGAAACACTTCATAAGTGGCCGCGCTCCAGTATAAGGGGCTTTCCCCACCGTTAATGCTTAGACAATTTACACTGCAAACGTCTGCGGTGCAATGTGGCTCTGATACGGTCACTGAAGCTGATTGCGACCACTCAATGCTTGTGTTTATGTTTTTATACAGGCTATGGTTTATTCCAGCCGCGCCACGCACGTTTCTGAAGCGGCTCTCTTTGCTGCTTCTGTAAATATACACGCATAAGCCTCCTTTGAATAAATATAGCCAAAATCCGTTGCCATGACTTACCGCGAGAGGCAAAAGGTTACGTTTAAGTCTCATAACATTGGTTAATGGAAACGCCGTAATTTCGCAATACTTTTTTATCGACATTTATAAAATATCGCCAAAGTTTTGCGCAAATCTGTAATGGAAACGCGCTTAGTGAGTGAGTGCTGATGCAGACCGGAAGAGCTAGAGGACTCGATATATTGTCATCAGTGGACATTTTAAGCTCTTGGTTTACAGAATTTGCTTGGAGATCTTATGGAGCAAGCGTTTCTTTCGTATGGACTTGAAATCCAAATCAACTGATGAAGGAACAGGAAAAACTGAAAAGAAGACCGTTAAATCATAGTAGCCCACAAAGTCCTGAAATAAAACCATTAAAAAGATGAAGATTGCCATGTCAGTGGAAATGTGTAAGCAGATATAGTTGAATAGTTGATAGAAGTCTAATCAGTGAAAAGTTCAAACACTCGAACAAAATGAAAGCATTTAAAAAGAGAAAATATAGGAATTTAATTAGAATTATATAAATTAGAAATATATATATAATTGTAATTAGAATATATATAATTAGTTTTGTTTAAATGTATATTTTTTACTAATTTAGTTTTTTTTTCACTTATTGAACTAATTAATTTATTATACACCATTACAAATATAATTTGTGTGTATGGATTGGTATGTTTTTTTCTTTGTCTGTTTGAATGATTGAGATTGTTTCTGCTCTCTTCTAAAGGTGTTATCACACTGATGAGCTGATGTTTGCTGTGGTCTGTTTCAGCTGTCACAGATAATAAGTAATCATACACGCTGTTAGGCGCAGTGTGCAACACTCCAGGACAGAAAGTTTAACCCATAACTCTACTGGTTTGTACTTGTGCTTCATAATCACAGGTCTCACGGTGTCGCAGTGTGTGTGTGACATGCACTTTAACCTCAGAGTCTCTCTAAGATATAGTTTCCATGAAAAAGGATTGTCCTCGGGACAAATGGAGGCAGTCATTTCTCAGAAAGAGTACACAGACATGCACACCAGACCGATACTATCTGTAGTCTCGATGCTTGCCATGTTGTCTTACAGTATATGAGAGCCTCGGGCTTCAGGTTCTGCGAGTAGTTTTTGGTATAGCTGCTTTATAAGATGTGAGTAGCAGTGCAAACACTCCACATCAAAGCGCCCCTGATGTCCTGTGACGTCCAGAAGAGACCACAATGATGTAGCATGAATGACCCATTGAGTGATGTCTTCCTAGGAAAGGAACAGTTCATTTCCTGCTGAAGATACCGACACATGTCTTTTAAGTATGGCAAATACTAATGTAATTTTGTAAGTTTATTAGGCAAGAAAGATGTTTGTTGTAGTGAATCATTTTGACTGCCATGTCCTAAACTTAAATCTTAATTTGAGGTTTGTCTTAAGTAGCTTCAACCATGATTGATAAGGCATTTAGACAGTCAGTTTCTTGATTTTCATGTTGTTGGGCATTCTGGGTAACCTGTCCCACAGCGGAATCTCAGTGGTCTGTAAGGACCACCCATTGGTCCAATGGCGGAATTCAATGGCATAGGTGAAGGTAAAATGTATGTAGGTCTTTTACTTGCGCTTCTGCAAAGCTCACTTAATTTATCAAGATTGAACTCTTGTTCAAAATCCTTGTTTGAAACATCATAATTGTGATTTATGAGTTATTTTGTGGTCACTTAGATATTTTTCCCCCTATCAGTGTCAAAAAATTACTTGTAAGTTTGGATGGCCTGAAATTTGATGTCATTTTTGGCTTACTTTTATATATTTTATTTTATTTTTTTAATATGTATTACTATTTTTGTATGTATTTTTATTTTTTTAATGAACATGGATGTTATAATACTGCTTTTTTCAGTTGCTTATTAAAAACAAACCACTAAAGGCCGTGCATTACAGCAAGTTTACCATGCTTACCATGTTACCATGGTTTGTTTTTGAATATATTTGTTTCTCTGTGTTCAGGCTGTTGGCCGTGTGTTACTGCTTCAGTTGATCGATTATCTGACCAGCCGTTACCTGAGTGATCCGCTGGTGACAAGTTTGTTGAACAGCAGTCGTGTGCACATCCTGCCATCCATGAACCCGGACGGCTTTGAGTCATCTGCCCGGGAATGCATGTATACAAAAGGCCGGTAAGTGTGAGCTATATGAACAATGGCTAGCATGCCCAACGTTTAACATAGGCATATGGTTAAAATCTGGACATAAGTAACAATCAATGAGCCATCAACCTTATGCCCTTAATTGTTGTACTTATTGCGTACATACAGGGATAGTTCACCCAATAATGAAAATTATTTTCATGGTTTTCCATTCTCTGTGCAACACAAAAAAGACAAATGTTGACACGTACTGGCTACTACCTGTTTCTAGTCTCAGGCCTACTAGGGACAATGTGGTGTACAGTTTCATTCTGAGTGGATTGGGTTTAACGTTAAGTTTGTACATTTGAATAAAAGGAGAATCAGTTTTTCCATAATCCTAAACAAAATCATTTGTTGTTTCAAAAGCTGAATTTATTTTGCTGCAAGGAATTCAGAACAGTTTATTTCCAAGTTGTCAGAGCCTGTAATGGTCTGCCCAGAGAAATCATGCCTCAGATGAGACGTTTAGAGATACAGCACACTTTTCCAACAAATCATCCAAAACCTTGCCGATAAGCAGGATACAAAAGCCGAAAACGCATGTCTTATCTGGCATGAGGGATCTTACTCACACATGCAGACGCGCAAAGATAAACCTCCATTATAGCAAACAGACTGAAACTCAAACTGTGTGACCCACAGACTCCCAAACAGTGGTACATAGTTTTCCAGGAGGAAAGAGGTGCCATAAGCCCTGAAGCAATGGAAAATAACTTCCTTGGTCTGTCGCCACAACCTGCTGATAAACAAAAATGTACCCATGTGGAAAAAAATGGTGAAATCTGCAATCAGAAGATATGAAATGCCCTATCTGGATCACTGAGTTTTGTTCATCCCCGTGGATGTAACAATGCGGCTTTTGACCAGACCGTGCCAACCGGACGACAAAATTCTGTACAATCACTTTGGTGTCTTCTGATTTCAATGATACCAATCAAATACAAGTCAGCACCTCATGTTGTCCTTTTTTGTTCAGAGAAACTAGATAATGTTTCATTACGCAAGGCGTGGACGTTCCCATTGAGTGATCTCAATCTGTAATCACTCCGTATGGTTGGAAATAAAGCAAACTTAACCCTTGAATGCATGAATGTTTTGCTAATTATATTAGGTAACAGGGTTTTAGTGACCTGGAATCTACACAACAGTATACTGTTGTGAAATTTTAATTGTAATTTAATAAATTACAGCGCATTTTGCTGGAAGGACTAGGAAGGGTGTTTTAATCAACTGCTTTACCACCGTCAACATATATTCAGCATCAAACGTTTTCCTTTTTATCATCTTCAAAATTTTGTTTGCTGACAGCTTCATCATCAGATCCACCATTAAATGACACCAATATTTGATTATGAACTTGCTCTTCAGTAAATCGCTGAGCCATGTAAAGATTTGCCGATGGATTATCTTGTTTTATGTCTACAGTCATTTTTACGCATTACGTCATCATTGTTTATCAGATGCCGCCAACTTGAGAAATAAGCACACTTATTGAGATGTCCGCTATTCCACATTGTTGCATGGAAAAAAATGGATGGGTGACATCCTGGGTCACTAAAGACCCGGGGTGTGCATTTAAGGGTTCATTAGCTAAACTCAAACACTGAAGACAAATAGAGAGTAATAGTTACATGTCATTCAATTGTATTTGCTTTTAGCTAGTGGCAGGTGTTTTGCTTTGCTCTAAAGAGAGAACAGGGTAGATATCAGCTGTTCTTAACTGTGTTTTATTTTGTTATACTTTCTGATGTTTCTAAATGCATAAGAAACATGGATTTCATCCCCTGACAAAATTACAGGCTTGCTCAGTATCTCTAGCTCGTCAGTAAAGAAAAATGAGTAACTGAAGCCACACATACTCTGGGATATTGGTTTATTTTGATTCGGAGTGACTGTCCGGGACATCAAAAAGTGAGTAATTTTAGTTACTTGTGGATCATCTATCCCTAAAATGTGTATATTAGTACCTTAAAGCTTTTTTTGCTGGATTATATATATTATATTTTTTTTTTTCAGCAAGCCTTGTTTAGTTGCAATGTCGGTAAGTGTATATATCAATTTTAGTTACTTGTGGATCATCTATCCCTAAAATGTGTATATTAGTACCTTAAAGCTTTTTTTGCTGGATTATATATATTATATTTTTTTTTTTTCAGCAAGCCTTGTTTAGTTGCAATGTCGGTAAGTGTATATATAAATTAACAAATTGTGTTCTTTCTTAGTGTTATCTGCACCAAGATTATTTGTCAGCGAAATTCCCCATAATTGTGCGTCATCCAGCAGAGTTTTGCTGACAAATAACCTTGGACTTTGACAGCTGTGGGGAATTTTGTATTTTTTTTGGTAAACTATAGATCAAACTTCTGCATTTTTGCATTTCCGCCCACATACAGTTGGGTTGACACGGGGGTAGATAGGCAAGTTTTATTAAATTAATCTTGCCAGTTTTAAATTACCCCTTGAAACTTTTGCAGTTAAAAAGGTACCACACCAACGAAAAGCTGTTAAAAGTAGTGCTGGGCGGTATACCGGTTCATACCGAATACCAGTGTTTATTTTTGTTATGATTAGGGCTGGACGATATGGCCAAAATTTATATCACGATATATTTCTTAATTTCGGTCGATGCGATATAATTCCGATTAAAAGTATACAAATACACACCAAAATGCAGCAGTCATGCCTTTTTAAATCTACACAAGTTGCGCTAACATTATATGTAAAACGCACTAGACTGAATGATAAATGTGTGTTGTGATATTTAATTTG